TAAAAGTTGCACAAACAACATTGATTCCTTTGTTTCCTTAGAATCTCTCTCTCTCTCTCTCTCTCTCTCTCTATATGTTATATAAAAATAGTGGACTTTGCTGTTTCAGTAACATTCACTTAGAGGGGTTTAAGAGAAGGCCTCTTGCTCTCTCATAGCAGTTCATGGGGTGCACAGGCTGCTCAGAAAGCCGAGGCAGCCTTTCCCTGCCAGTCCCAGGCGCGGGCCCCCTCGGCAGTCTCCTGCCGCCTCCGCAGGACCAAGGAGGACCCCGCAGCTGGGGCACAGTCCCCAGGAGCGCCGCCCCAGTGCGCCTCACGGACTTGCTCCTTCGTGGAGGATTTGCTGGCTCGCTGCCGTTTGTAAGACGACCCAGAAAATGCTTCTGACGCTTCATCTGTTATGAAATAATTTTTAAAAGTTTCTTGTCCTTTTGGTATGTGTTTTGCATGGGCTATAGAACACTTTAGACGTAGTTCTCTGAATAGATGCATAGATTTACTCTTCTTAATCTGTGTATTTCTAAGTTTAAAAACAAATGCTATTTCCTATTGTCTTGCTTTTTAAGTGATAGTATTAGAATTAATTACAGCTTACAATCTCGTAAAAGTTTGTGATAAATGATTTGGATCTTCTAAATGCCTTCCAGAAAGAGAAACATTTGGAAACATCCTACAGGTCATTTTACATAGACATCCCAGTTCCCAGTCATGAGGAAGAGGGATATGAGGACTATGCAGCATGAAAAAGGCAATGGACATGTTACCTCAGCTTACAGGAAGGTGTGAGAGTGTGAATTTTTATATTCTCTTCCAGTATCTACCTTCATCCTGACTTTTAGCAGCCTAGCTTGCTGTGGGGAGTAAACATCAATGAATATTGTAGTTTTCCTACCATCAAATGGACATATAAAAATAGAGGAACATTCAACAGCGCAAAAATACTGTGATAAAAAGCCTTTGCTTTAATGTTCTGTATTACAGCACATGAAATCTTAAAAGCAGGTTTACATGTGTCAGAATTCTTTTAAAGGTATTTATCTGATGCTTCCTTAGTTGTTCTCTAAAACAGGATAAGAAAAAAATCTGTTCATTTGCAACTCAGACTCCAGAAATGGTCATGCAGTAAGTTAAAAAAAGTTGTGCTGTTTTTCAAGCTGTCCTTCACTATCATGGCATTAGAGGGAAAATGTAATCTTTTATCTCTTTAAACTAGGTAATTAAAAACAAATGCATTTGAATCCAGTCTTGTGGAATGAGTTTAATGCGTTACGTAAACTGCTCAGCTGAGAAGGCTTTTTCTTAGTAGACCTGCTGTATGCTGCTGGCCTCGTCTTCGTATGTTATGGAGATGGAATCACGCGTACAGTTGAAGAACATTCAAGTCTGCTGATGGGAATAAGGTATATTGATCATTTTTGTTTTTAGTGATTATATCCCCTAAAGCAAAAGTTCTAACTTTTTTCATGACCTCTAAGATGAGGGAATTTGGTGGGATTTTTTTGGTGTACCATGACATTTACCACTAGCGGTTTTGTTTGCTGCAGCTTGGAACCCATTCTGTAAGTTGTAGAATCCATAGTTGTTAGCATTGTACGCACACCGGAGGATATATTAAGGAAACAAATTAGTGCTTACCTAATTTCAATAGATAAGACTTCCGCTACCATTTGGGGAATGAGATTGCTTTTCTTTTGCACTGTGGGTGATTTCGGCTGAGGTGTTGTGACTGATCGACAACTGATACTACAGAGATGGCCAGCCTTCCTGACTAGAAGGCATGTACTGAAATATTCATGTGTTTACAGGACATAGACCACGTACTAACAAAAACAGAGAGGAAAGGAAGTTCTAGAAGAGGCTTATAGACGGGGAACAGTTGCCATCGTTATGGACTGTACCCCCCACGTAAGGCCACAGTAGCCCAGGGATGTCAGCTCAGGAGCTCTTGCTGGATCACTTCCTTTTACAGCCAGCAGTTGTATTTCCTGGCAGTTGCCAGAGCCCAGGTTGTGAAAAAGAGAGCGCCTTGCCCGATTTAGTCATGAACTGCCTGCCTCAGCTTTGTCTTCTGAGTATTAGCTTGACAGCACATACTCCTTTTAAAGGAAGATTTCTAAATTTGAAAACTCGCTGAACGGACTAAGTTTTCTTAGTGCACCTGAGCATTTAAGTTTTCATTGTTAGGAGCATCTCTAAGAAGAATTAAAGTTTTAGGTTCTTTTCAAGCTTACACTGACTCAGAGGATTAAAAAGTAGAGACATTGATTTTTAGCTAATAGTTATGACTGTATTAAACTGCCTTCATTCAATCTCATTACAGGTACATTAGAACCAAATTCTTCTTAATACCGTGACTATACAGGATGCAAGAAAAAAGAGCTTCTGTTTTTCAGATGCCCGACTTTATTGTTTGTAACATAGTTTACTGTGAAAAGTGAGAGAAGAATCTGTCTGGACACCTTAAAGACAGCTGGTAGGCATAACAAAATGCTTTGTTTGAGGCAGGTTTGCTTATTTACGCTAAGACATTGCCAAGCTCGAACTCTGAGCAATGACCTGCTTCTGAGCCAGATAAATAGCTGCACCCATGAAGACGAAGTGTTCAGTCTCATTGGAAGGAACAAGGCCAGACTTTCTGAAAAACATGTGGGAAGTGCACTGAACGTGCTGTGGCAATTACAAAAGAAGAGGCCCCTTCCTTTAAGGACAAGCAACTATATAAGAAATCACTCGCAGTTTCTTACTCTTCGCATTTTGGCAGAAAACAAGGTAGAACGTATGGAAAATGAGGTCGTGGTGAACACCCTATACAGTGTTCTGAGGTAAGCAGGATTATGTTGAATTCCATGTCATGTATCGAAAGTCGATCCAACAAAATACTTCAAAAATACACCATTTAAAACCTCTTATTCAGTACAATATTTCATAAATATGTTTTCTGCTAACAACTTTACTGCTGATGCATTTCTAAGATTGGAAAACTTTTCACTGAAAATGTTACAGGCCTAACTCCCCTGCTAACATGCTGTCCTCTTATAACTATACGTTTTGTATCTGATAAAAACCAGAGGATCATTTTGTAGTCAAAATTCAGACCATAAGCAGATTGTCCTCTCTGAGCTTCAGTACTCTGACTTTGACACAGACAACTTGCCTAACTTCCTGTGCCTCGGTTTTCCAGATACAAAACACAAAACAGAATTAATGTTTTGCAGTCTCAGTGGGGATTAGATTATTAATACAAGAACAGATTATAATCTGTTCTTAGGTACATGTGTTTGGACGGAGGGAGCAATAGAAATGTAGAACAGTATGATATATAATAGGAGAACATTTATCTCTTGCACGATTTCTTTATAACTTCAGAGGCAAACTTTTAAACTGTTATGTCTTTGACTGTTCTGAAGGCTGGATGTTGAAGACCATGATTCTCTAGCAGAAGTGCTGGTGACAGAAGCGTGGAAAAGATTAGAAAGGCAAGTACTGTGCTGCTATCCTTTTTTGAAAGGTATAAATTGCAAGTTTAGTTTGCTTTACATGAGGCTGCACAAGTGTTCTCAAAGAGCATTTACCAGAGGTTTTAAAAATTTCGTTAGTATTTTAAATGTCAGTTGTATTTCTGAAGGGTTTTAGAAGGTTTTTTTTTTTTTTTTTAAGATAAATGCTTTGAGTATTCATGGCATTTAGGGCACAGATATTCAAGAAGATGTTTGGATAGTGCAACAATGGAGGACTGACGCTTTAAGGATTTGAAATACATTATCTGTATAGATGTATGTGTTTAAAATAAGTTGGAAGTTCTAACATTTACGATTTTATCTTAGTGCTTGGTAGTGCTTGGCGTCCTACTCCTAAATGGTAATTAGAACCCCTGACTCATGTTAATTTTAGTAAAAAAATATATATATTAAAACCTCAGCCTTTTCCCGTTGTACACTTTTTTTGCTTTTGATATTGTAATCTCTGTAATCTCTGCTTGACATCAGGTGCTAGTATCAGTTTTGTCACCAGTATCGCAGAATTGCCTTTCCCAGCTTAACAGCTGAGGCATCTTGACAAGTAAATAAATTCAATCTAGTCTGAACACAAAATTACATTCACATAATAAAATGCTCACATTCTTTTTAGCTATTTCACAATTTACTACTCGAGAAGACGATCATTATAGACATCCTTACAGTGATCTGGCTAAACCAAAGAACTTCTGCTTTTTGGAAAGTTCTGTACACACAATATGCTTTGGTATAAAATTCCTAGGTGTTTTAAGTATGGCTTTGTAGATTACAGTTTATTTTGGCAAAGTCCATAAAGTATCACTGACGTGTGACCAAATAGGAAATGCTTTGATACTTTGTTTCTGTTTTTTGTAATTCGAATATAATCTTATCTGTTATATATTTGTTGTATTAGATTTTTACCTTTAGTTGTTCACTAAAATTAAAAGGTAAACATTCTATCTGTCTTTATTTGATACCTTAACAGACTTAGTCTGCCAGCTCTGTCTAAATTTGCACTGTGTTTATACAAGCAGCACATGAATTTTAGTCCCCTAATTGGCAGAATAGCTCATATTGTGGACATGAAACTGGATTCTATACAGGATATAAGGTAAGTGGAGAAGCAACGTGTCATAATTACTGGGCTGTGCTCACTAAACATTTTGCCTTTTCTCAACTGAAGGTTGCTGCTCTTCAGTTTGGGGTTTGTGGGAGAGAGGTGATTTGTATAAGGGTACTGATTTTCAAGGACAAGTTCGCTCAGGTGAATGCGTTTTCCCACTTATTTTGGGAAGAACTTCTGTATAATCAATTTAAGAACGTATTTAAAGGTAATGTTATACTTACAGTGGGAAAAACATCAGATACTACTTTGTCCTGATTCTAAATTTTACATGGGCTTTTCTGAGAATTTAGGTGCTACTGATCTACCAGTTGTCTTTCTTCCATGAGATTGATAGTTTCCCTGCCCTGAGCTGGATTTAGTTTACTACTGTGAATAGCAGTAAACAATCTCAAAGAAATGTTATTTTTATTTATCTTCAAAGCATTTCTTTTATCAAATTGAATTTATCAGTGCTCTTGCTAATGTTTAATGTGTTGCCCTCATACAAAATTACTTAAAACCAGGCCCCAGTGCAAAAGTTCCAAGCTTTTTTTTTCTTGCCTCTATTCTCCCTGGGCCATTATAGCATAGGCTGCTGTCCTTTTCTGCTTTAAACGGCACCGTCAGTCCCAACAGTCTTTTCTGTATGTCTGAGGAACCTGCTTATGAAATAGTCGTTAAATGGGACTGCATTTCTTTGCAGAACTGACTGCCCTTCTGGTCCTCAGTTATTCCCCATTGGCCCCTTAGGAAAGGAAGTTTTCTTCAAGAATGATGGTGATTCGTCTCTCCTTTTGGTCTCTTGAGAATTGTTCCAAGTTTTCTTTAGTTTTAGTTTCCACTGCACATGAAAGACCTTTTCACAAATTTGAATCAGGGACTTGCCTCAGGCAACCACTTTCATCACATAAAACTTTGTAAGTAATAGTAGCAAAATCCTTATTGCTTTAGAAGTTCACTGAAAGCAGACTTTTGGCTTCAGCAGCACAAATGCTTTTTGTTCAGCTGTATTTTCTACATCGGGCTTAAAATTCCTCTTAAGACGGAAGTCAGCAACACTCTGACTAATATTCCTGCTTTGGCTAGTTTATTTAAGAAATCTAAAACCTAATGCTTAAAATGTTCAATGTGTAAGTGTGAAACCTTCTCTTTTTTTAGGATCTTGTCAGTTTTGATGATCAGCATATCTGATGTTATCTCACAGAGTTTTCGAGATCGATTACTACAGAAGGCTGAACAGCTCTTGGAGGAAGAGGATGAAGTCTACTTCAACTATGCCAAAAGAATAACACTGTTTCTTCAAAACGTTAAACTGGCATATCATCCATTGCTGGAAAAATGCAACAAGATTTTCCTTAAAAGTGCCTGCCGTCTTGATATACACAATATTAATCTTATTTTTGGACTGTATGAGCAGCTTGGTTTTGACAGTGCTGAATTCCGCTTGGTTGCTAAACAGCTGCTGTCTGAATCTATAGATGATTATAACGATCCCGAAACTTTTACAAAATTGTTTTTTACCCTTGGGCCTATGGCAGGACCCAAGGTAAGAGAAAGGTAAATTTAGTAACATTTTTATTTTATTTATGATTTATACCTGCTCTTACAGAGAACCCTTCAGCATTCAGTAAGCAACTAGAGCATAGTACTGAGCTGCAGCTCTAACTCCGCATGTTTTTCCTTGTACCATATAGAAAATACTCTTCTGGGATGGTATCAGTCATGGGCCTTTCAAAACTATTTTGGGGGGCAGTCTGCAGTTTTAGGCTGAATTGACTGTAGTAGTTATGATTAGTCATATTTTCAGACTTTTCTGCATAAGCATTAGCTCCCTGTTAGAGATGTGAATATACTGGCACATTCAGTTATGCAAGCCTGTATTGGTTTTGCCTTAAATAGTTCCATAAGCTTTTCCTTTTTTTTTTTTTTTTTTTTTTTTAGTAAAAGTAAATGTGAGGCAGAAGTCATTAGCCTTATTTTTCCCAGAACCAGTTCAGCTCATCTGTGATTCTGTTACATGTAGCCTGTTGATTGATGGTGAATTGTTCAGTGTCTTAAGAGTATCTTCCCTGCTTTTGTCTACCTGCAGAAGTGTTTGATTCACTGTTTTTTAGCATCAGAGCAACGTGTACTGATCTTACGCATTTTCATCTTCTTATCTGTCCCATACAAATTGTTGTTCAGAAGAAGGGTACACAGAACAAAGGTCTCTAGTTTGGGGGACTCCGTTTTCCCAAATTTCCTTAAGTAGTTATGTTGGTACTTTTCCTCCTTTTCTAGACAAATATAATTGCTACAATGTTTGCTGCAAATTTTTGACAGTTTTTCTTTCGAAAACGTATCTTTTCTTTTCCTCTTTAGGTTGCTAGTTACTGCAGTGGCCATGGCAGAAGGATTTAGCAGTCATCAAGTATTGGTAATACTAAAGACGATGCAGAAAATGAAATGTAGAAATTCTCATCTACTCCGAAAGTAATTTTTTTGATACTAGTAGAAAATTGTATTCTCTAGGAAAACTACTTCCATTTACTATGGAAAACTATATAATATCCAATAAATTGGTGGTGGAGGGGTAGGTAGTTCTGTTTCTCATAGACAAATGCAGACGCTTTATATATAATTAGCTATTACAGACTTTAGACTATCACATCTGACCAAAAGTATTTGGGGCAATTCAGGAATTGTCACAGAAAGGCAATTCTATCTCGCCAGGATAGTATAGTATAGTTCTTAGCTTATTTACAAATATGTGATCCTATTTGAGTAAACACAGCCTCTAACATTTCACTGAAATCGTTGTTAACTAATGAGACAAATGAGAATGTAGTAAGTTGCAGAGAATGTGTCCTATCTAGCAGATCCTATTATTATTGTGAATTGTTTCTTCCGAAGCTATCATGCCCTATTTTAAACTATTAAGAATTGCACCTTTAAGTAAGAATTGGGGCCAGATTTCCTGCAATTGTTAACTGAGCACGGTTTATAGGGAGAGGTAATATCTTTGACGCGATGAAGGGAAAAGCAGTTGAGGTTTTGGGCCTGGAAGACTGTCATCAGATATGTCACAGCTGCAGTAGGATTAACTGCAGTTTGTGAGCAACTACTCCAGATTGAATGTAGTTGTATGAGCCAAACAGATCCTTGGAAAAAAAGGAGCAGTGTAGTGTTCATGGGAAGATCGCGTGAATTCATGCTTTTTCTCCTTGAACCTCACTGGTTGAAGAAGGTCTAAGAGAAAATATTACCTCTTCCTATAAATCTAGCCCTGACTTGCAGCTTTAGACCAACATAGCCATAGCAGCACTACTGTTACCTTATAAGTGAGTGCAGTTGTGCTGAAGGTGGTGATACTGTTCTAGTGTATTGCATTGCAGGTCTTGCTTCAGTCATTCTGATGATCTAAATTTAACAAATTGTAAAATCTGCATCAGAAATTATTAGAGTGGAGCAGCTGTTTTGCTGTGATGAAGGCTTTAATCCTGCAATTCACAAAGCAGAGAGAGGCTGCTGTGTCTACGCAGAATACCATCAAAATGACTGGGATGGAGAGGGGCCCAGGGTGTATGCAGCCCTCCACTTAGGTACCATGCACTGTGGCATACCTCTTCTTCCTGTGAGGTATTGCGCTTTGTAATGTCTTCCACATTAGTATAATAGCATCATCTTTCTCTGTTTGTATTCAGAATGGCTTCTATTCTGCACAAACATTTGGATAACTGTAGCATATTACAGTTGGTAAAGTTAACACAGTACTTGGTATTGCTGCATTGCCACGATCTGGAGCTGTTTGACAAGCTAAAAAAGTTGCTACTTGGGTAAGCATGTCTTCTTGGAAAAGTAATTGCCCGTTTAGTGTAAGTTTTAAACGCTTTTCTGCTTAATATTTTAAATAACAAGCAGAGGTGTTAAATTGTATTGTTTTGCTTTCATAAAATACGAAGAAGTAACAAACTGTTAAAACAGTTTGATTCTATTAAACATAAACCAGAGAATAGGACATGGTTGTGGTCTTGGCTGTAGACCTAGTAGTATCAGCTAATAAATGTGGTATCTTTTCAAATAGATTCATTTCCCATTGCAATATAATGACATTCAACAGGTAATTTTGATCGTTACTTTATAGGGAGGATAGGTGTTAACGACTTTGATGTTTGAAGGAACAAGTGATGATAAATGTGCAGTAAGGATGCTGAGGTCAGAACAACTGAAAGTACAGAGCAGAAGTACTCTCCTTTTGACTGAAGAACTTTCAGGTTAGGCCTCCGGTTGCACAGTTGCCACATAGAGAGGAAGCCATCTCAGGAGTCACAGGAGAAGAGATCTGCCACGACTGCTTCCACCGCTCCACCGCTCTGTAGGAGTGCAGTCCTCTGGCTGGACATCTTTTTTTGTTGACGATGCCTTTGTGTTCCTGAGGCAGCATCCAGGTCTCCTGCAGAGAAAAAGTTCATTTGCTAATCGCTGAAATTATCCGGGTCCTAGAAACCCAAAGATTCAGTATCTGCCCTCATTAAGGACTTCTGTGTTTCATCAGTAGCACTTGAAGCCTCACCAGCTGACTAAGATGCTGCCTGTCATCTTACCTTTTCAAATTTGAATTGATTAGAAGGAAAAAAAATAATCTCAGAATAACAAAAGCTGGTAGACAGCATCTGTGTGAACTTCTACTATGTCATTAATTTTCTACATCTTACATGTTTGGGATGATGTGCAGCTTTAACTTTTCAAATAGAATTTTCATGTGCATCATTTATATGCTTTTTGTGAACGTTTGCACTTGGTCAGTACTGATGTTCTGCTTTTATTTCTGTCTCTTCCAGTTTTTTAAAATCTAGTGTCATACCTGCTGACATTGCTGCAATAATTCGTGTTCTGGCCATGCTTCCTTCCTTTCAAGAGGAGGAAATCATTATAAACAAAGCAACTGCAGTTCTGCCTCAGTGCAGGCTCCCTCATTTGAATTGCATTGCTACAGCTCTTGTCAAATGGAATCATTATGACCAGTTACACTGGCAAAAAAACACTTCAGAGCTATGTGCTAAGCTTCTACAGAAAGTAAATGACTATGGATTTCAGAGGCTTCAGAAAGCTGACAACTTAGATCTTCTGTTGGAAGAACTTACATATATGAATGGAGAATGGTTTGAAGAAGTCCTCAGTGAGGAAACTATGGCTACATGTCAGCGCTTGATAGACCAAATAACATGGGCAAATGTGTTACAGTTTTCCTTTTTTCTCATAAAAACAAACTGCTGCTCTGCTTCGTTACTTGACAGAATAGCTTCTGTGACTGTTCAAAATATAGACAAGGTATTACAGTTTTTCTTTCGATCTACTGTATAAGTTATTCAATAAAAGGCCAGGTTGGTAGCAAATGGAATAGCATTCAAGCCCCAGAAGTCCATTGACTTTAATGCTTTTAAGTAGAGGGTTTTATTGTCTTGAACCCACCGTTTTAAGTGAGAGAGAGGATTTTGCTGAAATGTAGAACGTTATTTTTGTAGATAGTATACATAAGTCACCTTTTCAGCTCACTTGTAATAGTTTTATGTGTAGCAGTTTTGTATTAATAGAATGAAAGTATTGTTTAAAATATAGATTTGGGTTTGGCTGCAGTTTTAGAAGTAGAATAACGTCTAAATCATTGTAGCTGCCTCCTACTTTTCCATGAAGGACGCAGCTTATAGTGGTCCTCCTATATTGGAGCAAAAGTCATTCCAGTTCAGAATCCTGGCTTTGACAAAGGTAAGAACAAGTTGGTAGCAAGGACAAATGAAGTACAGGTATTGAGATCCTTTCCTTGGAACAGCTTCCCAGTAGTGCTGAGATTTTCTGGACTAAATGTTGCCTCTGGATAATCCTGTTTAATAGTATAGCTGCTAATGGATCTGTCCTCTGTGGTTTTTTTTTTTTTGAGATTGATTTTTTTAAGCCTTTACAAAACAGAATGCAGTGGCAGTGATTTTTTTACAAAGTAATAATGGTTTGTTTAAAGGGTTTTGTTCTGTTCCTTAATCTGTGGTCTGAAAATTTCACTGGGTATCAGTTTATATGAAGAGATGTGTTTGCCCTCTCCACAGCTATATGTGTTTAAGGGAAAGACAGCATGGTACGAGGATAGTTCTTTTTCTATTCTCTGTTGCTTTCCTAATAAAGAAAAACACACACTAAATGCTAGGGATTTCTTCTGAGCTTTAAATTAATCTATTTCAGAGAACAATTCACAGTGTTTCTAAAAGTTTTCTTCAGTGTAGCTAATTTGGAGTTCATCACTGTCTGGGTACACTCAAGGCAGTTTTTCTTCCGTATACGTTATTTTGCACTTACTGACTTTCTTCTTTTTAATTTTCCTTTCTTATTTTATTATTCAGTCACTCAGTGTTAGAAGGTCGACCATAATCCTTGGCATTCAGCTTTATATTTGGCCATGCTTAAATCATTTTTTGTTTTTTTACAAAAGTCACATCACATGGTATATGTTTTTACAGCACCCGTTCTTATGGGGATCTCCCACCAGTTTGTCTCTGTGGTCAAAATTACTGTATTTTCTTTATACTTTTTCCTTCATTTTAATCTGCTATGTATATAGAAGACCTTCTATTGTAGCCTATGACAATTTAGTTTCCTTGAGAGCCCTTGATGGGAAAGCTTGTTAAGAGCTTGTTAAAATCTAAGTATACAGTAACACTTGGATCTTCTGCATCAAGCATTTTAATTTTTGGCAGTGTCTGCAGTTTTAATGATTTGTGCATTCTTTAAAAATATTTTTGTCCAGGAAAAGCTGAGAAATAAAACGAATATTAAAAATAGCTCATCTAGTCTTAAGTCTCCCAGTTTTGAGTGACTTATAACACCCTTTCTATTGTAAAGTAATATTAGAATATTTTGCAGTGGCTTAATTTAGGGTGTCTCTTTTTGCAGATCCATCCCTTTGAAATATATTTTATTCTCTACCTTTTCTCTATTCTGAACTATGACCCTCCTGCCAATGAAGAGTTCTTTGAGAATTGCATCCAGCCTCTTAGCTCTAACTTGAGTAAGTGCATTAGCCAGTGGTACGGTGACACCAAATAAACATTGAAAGATATCATTTGTACTGACAAAAATGGGAGTAGAATGGCACTTTTTTTAAGCCAAGGAAAAAAATGCATTTGTATGTTACCACTACTGTTCTGCAAGATTCAGTGTGTTTCTCTTGGGTTTTCAAACTTCATTTCATCCTCTAAAATTGCTGTTGATAGGGGACTAGCAAGGTATCTTGAACTGTAATATAAAGAAAGTGAAAATTCGGATTAATTGATATGCTGTCATTGGAAATAATTGTTGCAGTGTTCCCCAGGGAATTATCATTTGGGAACAGCGTTTTATGGTCGATCACAAAGAAATGTTGAGGTAGTGGAGGAAAATGTACAGAGATTCAAAATTGTTTTGGCTGACGATACAGCCTCAGAGAACTGTGTGAAAATTTACTTGCTACTGAAATATTGTGGGGTTGTCTTTTTTTTTTTTTTTTCTTTTTTAAGAGGTCATACCTCCTGCAAGAACTGGGAAGGGTTACCTTACACCTTGGTGCAGTTGTGCAAAGGTGCTCCTCCATCTGGCTGTAGTTTTACACTATAAACCAAAGTTCTCTATGTTCATTTAGTATATTAAGAAAGAAACTTGGATGAGTTGTGGGGAATGGGGGGAGCATTGCAAGTCCTTTCAAGTTCACATCATTTGTTAATATGTACTTGTGTTTGGTTTTTTAAGGTTGTTTTGAAACTCACCACTTGGTGCTGCTTGGTCATGCTTTGGCAGTGGCTGGTTATTTTCCTTCATTTCTGATAAAGATGATATTTAATGTATCTTTCCTAAGTAAACTGGATGCTCAGCTTCAAGGTAGGTATCTAGCTCTCTGATGGATTTAATTATGTAGTACTTAGCATAAAAATGAAGTTGTGGACATATATGTGACTTGAGAAGTAGAATTACTCTTTAAATAAATAATCTCCTGGGAAGACCCCTCTGTATAATCTGGTCATTATTTGAGTGCTAAAAGAGAAGCAATAGACAAAAACTTATGCTTTGTTTTAAAAATACTAACATATGTTACAGATGTTGTTTTCAGATGAGAGAAGCCCATTCAAAATTAATATTATAGTCAATTTACTGCATTCTATTTAAAAACTCTTCAGTTATTATTGGAAATAAAATTACCTGGCTGTAGTAATATTACCAGAAAAAGTCACAGACCAAAGCTCAAGAAATAATGGGGGATTCTTGTCTGCAACAGATGAGTCCCACCAGTCTCCTTTCTCTATAAGCAGGCGACTGAGTGTTCCTTTCAAATTTTGGTTGCCTTCCTCTCCACCTGTATGTTGTTTGCTATCAACGCACTGTTGCCAGATAAATGATAGAAGACAGTTTAAATTGCTGCTTTCTTCTGTCTTTCTGTTGGTTCTTAACATTGAGCAAAACTGGCATTTCTCTCTTTTCCCTAAGGGATTTTGAGATTCTTTTTAAGATTCTGCAGCATAAACTTTATAAATACCATAGTATAGAGATGGCTATAAAAGAATTCTAGTCTAGTCTAGTAAAGAATTCAGAGGTAGCAATGTTGTCCAGTGTATTGGGTTTTCCACATTTCAGCTCACACCTTCTTATTTTGTTTAACTCAGTCCTGTCTGATACCTCAAAACAGAAGGTCCGCTCGTGCCTCATGAAATTGAACAGAGCAGTCTGTCTGGAATGCCCAGAGTTTCACATCCCTTGGTTTCATGAACGCTATTGCCAGCATGTCTTGTTCAAAGGTAAGTAACTCAGGAGAGGAAAAGCTGCCCTCATTACCAGTAGTAGTCTTGTTACAGCAGTCTGCTAGGCACTTCATTTGTGCTCAGGCTGTAATACTCAGACTAGTGCACAGTAGCAGCTCAGGAGGACATATGCCACTATCCATCAAGGATGTGTTCCTGAAAAGTGCAACTCTACACTGTAATATGACAGAGAGTAAAGCAATTTTTCCCATGAGAATTAATGTTAAGGGCAGGATATTTCTACATAAGAAATACTCGCAATTTAAATACACAAGGACAGTATGTATGGCATGGAGAATGGAGAGGCAGGAACAGGATTATCAGAACTGTCAACTGGATGAGGTGCGGTGTTTTCAGAATAGGTCACTTTGATCCCTACTTCATTTATGAGACTGAATGCTTGACTTAAATCTCTCAGTGTGAACATTCTTGTTGTGTTCTTTTGAACTCGTTGTCATCTTCCTCAGAAGAATCAAGATCCATCAAAGGCTGATGGACAGAGAAATAGGCTAATGGTCAAGTGTTCAGCCTCACGGGTGAAGTAGCAGAGATCTTTCAGAACAGTGACCTATTCAGAAAATCCGGCTGCCGTGAGCCCAGCATCTCCTCCGTTAATTCTTACGGGGGAGAACTGCTTTGCTCTCCATCAGACTCAGCCACTTGATCTATGAGACTGAAGATGGTTTGCAGAGCAATGTATGAAACAGTCTGCAGCAGATAAAGAAGTGGCAGATATTGTGGTATGCCTGTAATAACTAATGCACAATAACTAAATACGCATTTAACAATCTAAGCATGTTTACAAGCAAACAAAATCCAACAGGTGAAACCTGAAAATAGTGTTTTTTGTGATATGTGAATGGGAAAAAATCCTGGGATGGAAAGTCGGGATTTATGTGAGTGTAGCTGAGCAAAATTTGCTCTCCTTTCCTCTTCTGTCCTTTCCTAACACCTTAAATACCTCGCAATTTGTGCTTAGTGGGCATCTGCCACTTTCCATCCCAAAGATGATCGCATGGTCTCTCGATTTGTGATCGAATAACATCGCTATCTGTGGAAAAGCTTTAATCTAGTAGGCTGGCTGTCAAAAATGTCACAAATTTCTATTTCAGAACTTCAGCTGTGGAAGTGTTGATATATGAACTCTTTATTTACTCTCTGTAGGCAGTAGAAGAATAAATTCACTGCGACAGCATGTTCACAGAATGCTGGCAGAGATCTTAGGAGGAAGCCATTACGCAAGAATGTCTGTTCTCACACCATACTACTATGAAATAGGTGAGCAGTTAACCTTCTAAGGATTGTTACAGATACTTCTGGTACCATTACCGCTAAGGTTAGAATGCCTCTGAGGATGCAGATTACAATGCCACAGGGTATCACAAATAAGAAATTTTGGCAATTTGTATAAAATACAGTATTTTAAAGTTCTGCATAATACAACAAAAAATGTTGGGTATCTCTAATTTCATTATTACTTTTTTTTTTATAAAATTAAATACTATACAGATCATATTCATTTTCTTTTTTATCAGCATACTGGAGTGTTATGTTTTCTCACAGATCTTGAATGCATTCTGGATAAAAATAAAAGGCCTCTTTCCTATACGGCTGAGAATATACCTCTGGGTGATTTGGAGGGAGTACATTTGAGACATGACTTCAAGGATGCAGGAAGAAAGTCTCTACCACCAGGCGCTCAGAGGTTAGTATATGTTAGCTCTTTCCAATATAGACCAGGTTGTCGATGCTTGTATCCTAAGTCATTGTTGCAACCTGTAGGCTACTTATTTTTCTGTTTCTTTTTCCAAAGCCTTTATGAGGTTTAGCCTCCCTAGTGCAGACAGGCCTTCTTGAAATCTCTGTTTCATGAGACGGGAATACCATTTTCCTCCCACCTTTTCAAATGTATGCCTTGAAAATGCCAGTTAGGCTGGTTTTGCTGTTTGAACCATACACAAAAACAAGAAGGAAGTGGTTTTCTAAACCATGTGAAGTTCAAGCATCTCTAGATAATTGTGAGGGGGAAATACCTTATCTAGTTTCAGTGGGTGGTTTAATTTTTCTTTTTCTGTGAATTGTGAGGTTTATCTACTAATAGTCTGACTGCAACTACCAATACTGAGATAGAAATACCATTTTTTGATGTTCAGGGAAAACCTGAAAGTAAAACAGAGTTTTGTTGTTTGCAGAATTGCCTTGGAATTTCTTGATCCAAAAGCTTTTAGCAAGGATTCATGTCACATGAAAGGAGAATCTGCAGTGAAAAAACGACACCTGGAAATGTTGGGGTACCGGGTAATTCAGGTGAGGAGTCACCAATGTATTGTGTCCTTAGGGACTTGTGTAGACAGTGCAAATTTATACACTTGCAACAGCTTCTTAAAGATAGTTTTCTTCTAGTAGTTAAAAGCAACTACTGGGCAAGAGCAATTTTTGTACCTTCACTTGCACCTTCACTAAAGGCAGCTACAGCAAAATTGAAGTCAGATATCTTAGACTTACCTTATTGTAGCATACTAGCAACCTCCACATAGCCTGAGTAAAGGAGAAACGGAGAAGCAGGAATTTCAGTTCAATTCACTGAACGGTTTCTACGCTGGAAAAAATGGTACATATACATTTACATTGACTGCTACAGAGCCATTTATGGCAGCTGCGAGATGGATGCTGTCTGTCTGCTAAAGTGATACTACTGTGACAGGGAAGACACGTAATGGCCAGAGTTATTTCCCACCCTCCAGTGTAGATATGCCAGGTAATGGAGGCACAATAAAGTAGTAATCTCCTATATATGTAGTTACTGTGTCACCTACTGTAGTTTTAATTAGAATTCTTCTGTAGGCCTAAGTTTGTTTTTTCAACAGGATAAACATCCTTCCTCATATCCCCTGACAGGAAATGGTATGCTACTGATACACGATTTCCACTTTGGTACCCTGATTAACATGACAAGGCTATAGTGACCTGGGATTTTTCTCTCAATTTGGGTTTCAAAGTACCTCAGGTGGAGAGGGTGTAATGGGGTTGTCACAGCTTGTGTTGCATGGGTATCTGCTTTGCATCTCTGCAACTATTACAGCTTTTTGGAAGCCAACTGACCATATTTAAATGAAAAAAATGATCAGGGAGAGAAGCTAATCTTTTCAGTATTAGAGTAAGTCTAGCTTTTAGAAGGGACACAGATGATAAAATATCTTAAAAGTGGAGAATGATAGGTATCAGAGAGCCCTTTCTCAGCTGTAAAATGTTGTGGGCCTTATATCAGACAACAATAACATTAAGTTTGTATGACTTTGTCTTGCAGATTCCTCATTTTGAATGGAATTCTATGGTTTTATCAACAAAAGATGCACAGCTGGAATATCTGAAAAAGCATCTATATGAAACACAGTGATGCTGAAGACATGTAATCAGTTAAACTTCTTGTAACCCTGAAATACATATTTTCCAAAATCTCTTTATTTGTGAGTCAGCTGGACCAAGGCTTGCCAAGGGACAGCAGATATTAAGATATATAATCCTAAGTTTGTTAGGGATTGCAAAGGGCAGGTCACAACGCGCCATAAAAATGTAATAAGGATGCTTAAAATCTCTCGTTATCTGGAAGCTGTAGTTTAAGTACGTGAGTCTGTGACAATGCTTCCATAAAATGACATTATTATCTCTTAAATAAACAACATGGAGACTTGACCAGATATACACCTATCCAAACAAAAAGTTTGAAATACTATAACTATGGGAGAGAAGGCAGCAGATATACTGGAAATTATCTGCCCTTCAGCACGTGACAAAACGAGCAATAGGGGCAAAGCACATCATCTCTGTACTGTGAAACCAAGAAACTGAAATGGAGGTTTACTAAGAATAGAACTGTTACTGCAGCCATTCTGTTGCCATCTTCCACAACCAATATAGTGTGGGTGATTATAATGGGGGGGGGGGTAAGGAGCAATGTGGCATATGCAAAAGAAAACAGCTGGAGCTTTCAGGAACATCTCTGCATACCCAAAAGGTAGATTAGTCCCAGAGGTCTGGCAGCCACCCTGACTCTTGAAACACCCTGTACTCCCGTTAAATGCAACTTGAAAAGAACACAAAAAAAAGGAAAGATTGATATAATTGAAGGGTATTAAATAAGACAAGGAAGAAATAATCCTGATGTCAGACATATGTGCTCACTAGGGGCTGATACTTCATGAAACTTGCTAGTGCAGCAGTATGCGTTGGACTAGCCTGTTGTTAATAGAAGTAAAAGATCTGACATGCCTGTTCTATAAATAGGACGGTGTACTGAAGAGCAAAATTAGGCTGAAAATTGAAACCAAGAATCAAGACAAGTCTGAGAGTGATAAATACTACCTTGGTTACTGGGGGTGAAACATAGCAGGTTTTTTTCCTCATATCTCAAAACTGTCTCCCAGTTGCAGGGCTTCCTGTGATGACACTGAGCCAAGGTTTGTATCAGGAAGCTTAAGATAAAGGGATGTAGAAGGAAGAAGTGGAACAGCCAGGAGAATGTTCATTATAGAGTATACTGTGGTAAATTGGCTCATTTTCAGAAGCAGTCATGTTGTGACTACAGTTTCTATTACCTCATGATGACCACTAGCTGTGCCTATCTCTTTCACACGCATAATGCCTATATGGTTTTTTTTGCCATTTTAATAGAAGCAGTAAGCATTCCTTGAAATGCCATCTGCCTTGAAACTTGGCAGAGGTAAGTGACTATATCTCTGAATTGATCATCATGCACTTGGCTGTCGCTTGTTTTGATTGATTTTTTTTTTTTAGCTAGCCAGTAATAGAAAATATTTTCTATTGACTGAATCTGAATCAACTCACTGGTGAGAAGCCAGAAAAAAACCGACAGAACTAACAGAAGTTGCAGGGTATTTTCCTACCAAGGCAGTCCTCACATTTGTTGGATGACTATGAAGAAGCTGTGGCAGATGGTTATCATCTTATGGTGATGATGCTTCTGATCAAATTGACATGGGCTGCAAGAGGGTTGTCAGTTGTAGAAGAGTGCTTTGAGGAGATGGCAGTGGAGGCACAGCACATAAAAAGCTCATTATATTTTGGGTAAAATGAAGAAGACAATCGTGCACGTAGGATCTCAGAACATGGTCTAGAGGTCAGAATTGTCTCTTGCATGATCCTGCTTCTGTACAGATGGGCTTGAAGTAGCAACTGTGGAGCATAAGGAAGGTAGCAGTGGCTGCAGTTGAAGTGATCAGTGATGGATGGTTGTGTGATTGAGCTGCTTTTCAGGGGTCAAGCAATCACTTTGTGCCGAGCCAGATATGTCTAAAATATGTATGGATGAAGTTTTGAATATTCACAACTGGAAAGATGATTAAAACGTGCTGCGTGGATTCAGAAAGTGCATCTATCTTGAAAAAGCAATATGTAAAAGCATTTTAATAAAATGTGCTACTTTTATTACTTTGCAGTCATTTTCTTGCTAAATTAAATCAGTAAGTATTCGTGCAGATCGCCAGTAATCTGCACCAGTAATTTAACTGGAGCCAATGAAAAGATGCTAAGAGCAGATGAGGAGTTGGTGGTGTGTATATGAAGGGGGGAAATAGTAAAGAAGCCCCAGAGAGTAAGTACCCGCATACAGTAACATACTGAAATGAGCTATGATGGCTGTGCCTTTGGCATAGGCTTACCTCTCTCTCCTGGGAAGGCAATGCAGGTGGTCTGTCTATAGCTGCAGTTGCTGTTCAGCCAGCAGTGGTTTCTTTTCTGGTTTTCCTTATGTGTCAGGTGTAATTATATTGCCTTAGACTTATGATGTCCTCCTCTTTATTCAATGGAGAAATCCTTTAAAGAGGTACTCTATAAAAATGGTGGATGTGCTGTACTTCAAAAAAATTGAAGGCTCTGTTACATTTTTGGCAAAGGCTCTACTAAGAAGTCTGTATCCTGGCACTATGATAGCGACAACAAGCTGCTGATCACTAAAAATGACACCATCAAGTGATATTCTTATAGTTTTAAAAACAATGTTTAATTGTTACTATTTAAAAGCTTTAACATCAAAATGCATCAGTTTTTTATTAGGTGGAAAAGTCCTCTTTGCCACGGGTATTTGCTGATGATCCGTTATGCTAAGGCTTTTCATGAATGCTTTGTTAATGGCCTCAGGGCTCCGAGAAAAATTTCTGTTAAGTAATTTGCTTTAGAAATAAATGCAAAAGCATAAAAAAAGGAAAACCCTTGTTACCAGAAGCCGAAACACAGCAGGTGAATCTCCAGAGCTACTAGCCTTGTATATTTCTCTCTCTTCACTCAAGGCTGAGCCATGAGTTCAGCCATGAGGTTCAAATATACCTCTGTTTTCAATATGCAATTCAATGTCAAATTCATTATTTTTATAAGGCTCTAATGAAAACATTTTCAAGATATGGCTGAAGAATGCAGGATTTACATACATTGCTGAAGGGGGGAATCAGGCTGTACAAACAGCCAGTTAGAACAAAGTTAAGGTAAATACAATTAGTAGGTAGTTCACGATTGATTAAGTCTTGAGCATCTTAAATTGTTTGGGGACTAAGCCACCACTATCCTGGATCGCCTGGGTGTAAGGAACTCCAATTTCATTGGTAATTCCCCAGAGTGAAAAACAAGTTCTCTCTGAAATCTTTGTTTATTCTTAACAATGTTGATCAGAATTCTTCAGGTTTTTAAACTTCAGCAAAAATTCAATTGTTGTTGATTAGTTAGTAAATATCTTAAGACTTGGATAGAGTGACAACTTAACTAGCATACTGCTACAAAACTCTGTACAATTTGGGAACATTTTCATGCAACGAAACCAGAAGTGTCTATCAAAACTCCCTCACCATATCATATTTTCCAGCATTTTATTTACAATTTTGAGAGCTTGAATAGGTTTAATCGTGTAGCTAGGCAGGAGGCTCCAGTAGCATATCGGATCTCTTTCAGTATGCCGCTCCATTCCTTCTTCTCATCATCATACCTGCATTTAACAAGATAAGGTCAGAACACCGCTTCTTAAAATTTGAGTTTGACACTTCCCTCACACAAATATGAAAAGGAGGATAATCCACACGTTGCAAAGGCCTGTAGCAACCACGAGCAGAGTGGTGCCACAGAAGAACGTTATTGTCCTCCAGAGCAGAACAGGAAGATGTTCTTGCTCCTGTGAGTTGTCTGTTGCTTTGTCCCTATATAGCTCATTACTGGCCTGCATCATGCTTCTACTGTTCCTAGAACAGTGTCCTCCTCCTTCAGTATCCCTTCTGAATTCCTGAAAGTTCTTAAATACAATGTGCTTTTGGGAATCCTTTCTATCTTTCTGCCAGTTAAATCTAAATTTTCCTCAGCCAGTGAAGAATCACAATATAGGCACGATGTTTCAGCACTGCTATCATGAGTTAGATAGAAATCTGATATATGGGTATCTGATTCGCTCAGGACAGTTTTTGGCTATTAATACACATGAATGTGTGCAAACCTGTCTGTGTATATAGCCTTTCCTACATTAGAAGATCACAAAACAGAAAATGGGTGTATGGTACACTTCACAAGGCTAAACCTGCCAGTAATTATGGCATCTTACTCTCTTAGGATATACCCTTGCTATATAGTAAAAAATGAGAAGATCATGACTCATGCTGTTCAATCTACTAGTAGGGGGAAATGTTCATTAGGTCCAAATCTCATGTTTATTTGTTACTTTCTGACATTTCTGTTTATCAACGAGTGCTTTACAACCTGTGCTACGGTTCATTTTGAAAATTAAACATAATATGGATTTTACTGTCCCACATTTAAAAACCTAACGCTCTAATTGCTTTCCACTAAGAAAGTATAATCAAAGTTAAACTTACTTCCATATGTCGGTGACTTCACTGGGTGCAAATTCTTTAGATTCAAGCTGAATCATTGCAAAGCCTCCAATAGCATATAAAGATCCACCTAAGGTGACTAAACTGATGGAACTTCTCTCTTGGGGAAATTCAGGCATAATCTCCCACCTGAAGTTTTAAAAAAACAACTTGGTCAAACACATGAGAAATACTTGAAACTGAATGCACTAAAATACAGCTCTGGTTGACATAAATGCAGGTGCCAAGGACCATTTGAGTGAAACAGTTTAGTAGAAGGAAAAAAAATCCTGAGATTTATCAGCAGTGACTTTCTGTTTCTCTGTCCCCACAGGGACTTGGTGTGTGAATACAAGTCTTCATGTGACGGATTTATACCATGAGGAGTTTGCAAATAAGTTGGGAGGAAAGATAAGCAGCAGAAAGGAAAACTGGAGTAAGAAGTGAGACATAAAGATACTGATGGTATACCCTGTGAGAAAATCAAGTCATTTAGGGGATGCTGGCTGCAAAAGGCTCTAGCCATGAGGAACATTAGAAAGTATTTGGACCAAGTAAGTGAACTGGTTCCAGCTTTTGTCTGTCGTCATTACTTCTGAACAGTAGTTCAGAGCAGGTACTTAAAACAAAGTCTTCCTGAAGCTTTCATGTTCATAAGCAGAATTATCTGCCTTTCACTAACTAGTGGTAAATCGTACTTGCCACGAAGAAGTAAATGAGTGAGCAGCAAGACACTATGAGGCCAGGTACCCAAAGCATATTCAGCTAGTCCCATCCAGGCACCTAATTTCTTATGCTGTGGTTTTGCTTTTAGTGCCAGCACTGTTTAAACTAGATTAAGCAGCCCTTGCCCGTTTCTCCCACTTCTCCCCCGTTATGCCAGCACACTCATTTATGTGGCTGTGTGGCCAAATAAATTGGAAAACTAATCAGACTGAAAACAAAGTGTGTTATTTTAGTTAAATGAACTCTAGAAAGAGCTATGCTAGCATAAAAAAAGGAGTGTTGGGGCAGGAAAAATCTCTGGAGACAGGGGTTCTTTAAACTGCTGCTGTTCCTAAAGAGGTGTATGTAGACCAACATTCTTAATGAGAGCATAGGCACCTAAACACCTTTGTGACTCTATCTCAGTGATCCTAAAAGTCTAGATGGTAAAATACTTGCTTAAAAACAGCTTGAACATTGCACTTACTTATTAGTGGTCAGATCAAAAGCTTCAACAGATGCAGTAAGGCCCTCTTCAGTGACGCCACCTGCAATCACAATCTTGCCCTTATGGATAGCTGTTCCAAACATTGAGCGAGCCACTTTCATTGGAGCCAGATCTCTCCAGTCTCCTTTCTTGGAATTGTACACAAATACTCTATTAGTACATTTCCTGGGGAGGAAAAAGAAAACCTGTGATCATTTCTAGGGAACTTTTCAGAGGAATGTAAGGGGGAGCAATGTTCTTCCAGAAGAAAAAAAAATATATGTTGAATAGTAACTCCTCCAAACACCAAGATATAAGTTTTTGTATCTTTAGCCTAGTTCGACATGAGTGTAGGAAGACAGACTTAGGATTTTTTAGACCCTGGATACATATATACTGTAGGGATATATATACTGTATATATACTGTAAATGAAGAGCTTGGCCTAGAAGTGTCACTTGCATTGCAGAACAGTACCAGAGTGAAGTTGAAGGCATACTAGAAGTCGAAACATGGAAACTCCTTCAAACTCTAGCTTATCTAACTGTATGGTAGGTAATACTCAGAGGATGCTTCATATCATTTTTCAAAATAATACTGCTCTACATTGACTCTTAGTCTCCTTGAACTCATTCTAATGAAAGCAAAGAACTTGTACGAAGCTCATCTGCACTCCTGCAGATTTATAACCACTGGAATCCTTTGTCACAACTCTTGACTTAAAGCATTCACTTGCTAGAAAAATTACCACCATAATCAATTAGTGAAAACTTTAATTTTTCTTAATGTTATACCCATTAAGGTATAATGGATATCACAGGTCACAAAAATGAAAGAACTGACACAGTAATTCCATGGCACTTAAGCATTTCTATCTGGTAGGAGATAATACTTTTAATGAAGACCCTCATAGCTAACTCTGTGTGCGTGCGTGCGTGTGCGTGCGTGCAATGTAAGTAACAATTTGCCTTGGAAATAAATTAGGTAATTAAACTAACTGGTTGAGATTACAATGTATATGCAAATTTTACCATGTCATAAAAAAGATGTCCTATTTATCATAACGTGTTGCCCTTTGCCAAATCTCTGGCAACCTTAACCCACAGATGTAAAAAAGAGAAACGCTGAATTCTGAGTGTGAGGCCACATAATCTGTAAAGGACCAACCAACCAATGTTGTAAATTGTCATGAAAAGACTTGAGAGACTCACTTGTCGTCAGTTTTTCCTCCAAGACAATATATCAATCCATTATTTGAGATAGTAGCATGGCCATATATTTTGATGGGTAGCTTTTTGATCTCACCCCATTTTATTGCCCTGGAAGAGGAAGACCACAATGTTAGCTCTTTCAACTAACAATGGATTTTTTTACATGTCGTTGGTGGACATAATTAAATTTTAAACATACACAGGATCATAGCACAGTACTGAATCTAGAGACTCCTCAGTGCGAAGGTCCTTGCCTGCGATCACATAGATTTTGTTGTCTGATTCTCCTAGCCCAAAGAGACACCTGGCTGACGGCAGTGGAGGAAGGGCAACCCACTCACCAGCAATGTTATCCAGCTGAAAGGCATCAGAACAGAAAGTATTAGGAAAGGCAAATAGTAAAAACCCGCACAATGAAAACTGCTCCACAAAATAAGTCTAGATGCACTCAGGGTCTCAACAGCTCCTCATCTGCTTGCCTGAACTACCTACTCCTCCATTAGTGCAGGTAGGGACTGACAACTTCTCTCCATCCATGCTTCGTGGTGCTGAGACCCAACAGAGTTGATGCCATGCATCTCTCTGCATTTGTTCCCCTTCATAGAGTCTGCTTCTTTGATCTCCTTTTTAAACTCTTTTCCCTTGTTTAACACTCTCCGACTCTTGCTGTTTTCCATCATGTGTTGTAAAGATTAGTTCTTATCCTTCCTGAAGGGAGCAGAAGCCTCTGCCATTCCACACCTATAAATTCAGCAAGTTATGCTATCTGGTATCATGAGAGATGCTAGACATCCTCAGACCTTTCCTCTTAATGATCAAGAAGCACAAATGCCACAGATATTTCTTCCACAACATCTAGAGCAAAAGAGACGTGTCAAGAGACCTTCAAAAGCTCCTGAGATCTCTGGAGGTACACTGAGTAAAGACTTCATTCCTAAACAAACAAGGCAGCCAGTACATTTCCATTGACCATAATACTGATGTCTTCCCTAATGATGACGTCCCAAGATTCTCAATTCAGACTCAGTATGCTGAAAACTCCTAAGAAAAAGCAGCAGAACAACAAAAAAAAATCCATAGAACATAGGTTTTGCTTTGATCTGAGAACTTACAATTGAACCTAAATGCTCCCTAACATTTAAAAAGAACTTTTTCCCTCTTTTATTTCATATAGATTTGCTTGACAACACATAGGAAGTGAGGAGGAGATGTGAGTTTGCATGGATGTAAGCGTGTGAAAGTGAAAGTTCAGTCAAAGTAATCAGATCTGAGTTTAGCTCAGTGATGACCTTTTTCCAGAAGTATGTTTCACAGTCAACGTCTCTATGGTAAAATACATCTCCCAGATTTCATAGACCGCTCCTACTGCATAACAACTTTCATTGCAACAATGGAATTTAGTTCTTGGACACAGATTGTTTCGGTAACTAAATCTAGGTGGGGTTACAAGGACACAGATGTACACAGATCACAGCACATTTTGCGAATCAGTCTTGGAGATGGCCTGATACATCTCTACTTCTGATAGGGCAATAAACAATTAGTCACACGTTTCTGAGTCAGTGGTAGCCGTGTTTTGTCCTGGGTTGCTAGCTACCAAATAAAATGGTAAACAGGTGCAGCAAAGGTACAGAAAGGGAGATTAAATAAGTGAAAATCTGCATGGCACCACATTCATATTTCAGCAGAAACATTAGCGACACAGGTAACGCAGAAACTAAGTGTTTTACTATGTGCAGTAGCAGCAGTGAGCAAGATTTGAGAAGGGACAAGCTGGAGAGCAAGATTTTGGGAAATGGGCTTAGACATATAAAGCAGGATTATGAAAATGTCAGAGTATCAATAGTATCATAGTATGTCTAGTATCAATCTTGAGGTTTATTTTTTCAGAGGCCCCCTTCTAGAATTTAGAATTCTAGAAGGCCTAGGATTTGGATTATTCAGTTCTGCATTTCCACTGGAAGAATATTTCTGTAACAACTTTTGCACTTCCGTGATTCGTGTTTTACACCTAACTAAGGAAATGAAACAATGCTAGTCCCTCTCTAGCAAACTGATACTTCCCTCTCATACATATACCAAATTTCTCAAACCAACTCTTTTATTGCATCTGAACATAGCTCTATAACACTGAGCCATAGCTCTATAAATACTTAATATTTGCAGTTTTAAATATCTGAAGGCTTTAAAACTCTGTATCAGCTTATCACTCTGTTTTACTTCACAAAGGACGTACTTTTACTCTTTTTAGGCCAATGTGCCTAAAGATAGGACTTAGCCAGGGGCATGTTGCAAGAATTCATCATGAGATAGTACCCAAGAATACAGCATGTAGCCAGCTACTAAAAACACCACAACATAATTATATTATGGTAGTAATTTCACCAAATTGTATTTTTGCTAATTTTCTCAAATGTGTTGTGGAAGTTACAGTTGTATTAATAAGGTTTATATGTATACAGATTTATAAAGATATACAATTACACTCAGTTGAAACATCTTATTTAGTCTATTGACATTGAGTTTGCCAAGAAAACAGCCTTCTATATGTGTGCGTGTGTATCTATATCCATATATATAAAAAATATGTTTTAGAGCATCGTTAGGTTTTCAAATGTAAATATAACAGAAGGACTTAGGGACTTTCATTTTAGTGAAAAAAATGACATTTAAAAAATAGACATTACTATTGTCATGAAAATACTTCAGATTCAAAACCTGTTAGGTATGTAAAGCAGTTAAGCAGTCAACTTTCACTGATCTTAAGGGAAATTCATGAAATAGATTACAAAAATCTTACTAGGCTTACACTTGCACATCTTTACCAATAAAAATCTGGGACTCAAACTCTGAAAGCCAGTGCCTTGATAAAATACTCTAATCAATCTTTTCTAAGATCTCACCCTCGGCTTGGATCTTGAAAGAGAAGAGGCAAGTACCCTGGTTTCAATTTATCTTTCTGAGACAGGAATAACTCTCTAGAGGTACTTCTTTCCATAGACTGTAGACAGAGACTAGATAATTCACTTCTTACAGTACACCTTAATTAGGTACTAAAAATTAATGTGAGAGAAATCCTATTGCATGGACTACACTGGCATAGGTGAAAATTGAGAGGACTGCACGTTTAAAGAAAAGTCATGCGACTGAAAACAATTAGTTTGCCACTGAACTGTGTTTGGCATAGACTGAAAATACTTTTCAGTAACTTTTATAGCACCTACTATTGCACAAATAACGACAAAGCTTATACCTGGAAGAAGTACGACTGGAAAGGCTGATCCTTGTTCTCCTCTTCCACATACAGTCCTCCAACAATGTAGACTTGATTTTGTTTGGTGACTATGCTGGAATGATTTCTGGGAATCTGTTCTGCCAGGGCTGCTAGGTAGCATTCATTTTCAAGAGGATCATAAGCTACTGCAGCAGTGTCATTAACAAGAAGAATTAGGTCTTTGACAAACATGCCATGCCTGGGAAGGTCATTTAGGTACCCAGGGAGTAAATCTTCATCTCCTACATCACCATTTACTTCTCCTTTGTTTGACTTTTCTGTGCTTTTGCTAGAGTCAGGCAGTTTTCCAGCAAAAGCATCCTTAATGATCTTTATTTTTTTCTGAAGATCTGAGTTGCTTTTAATTATATCATCCTTCTCAACATGATCTTTGAAATATTTTTCTGGCATAAGACGAAAACGAATGCAGTCAAAAACTTCTCCCAGGCTCTTTACTCTATTCTCTTTGTCTGTCCGGACCCATCTCATTACTGCTTCAAATACCAGTTCTTCCTTCTCTACATTTAAGCTGTCAGGTGTAATAACTGAGATAAGTTCATGGGGGGCAAGCTGCATGAAGTCCTCTTCTTTGCAAATCTGCACAAAATGATCTGAGACAAAATCACGGGCAGAAAATGCAAGTCTTGGACAATCAAGCAGGAGACCTAATCGAAGGATGGCCAGACAGTTTCCAACAGCTAGCCTCTTCTGAAGATAGGAGACACATACAGTGAATACAGAAGGGATCTGAAAGCGACTGGCCAAAGCAAAAATATCTTGCACGTTAGAATCGTTAAGATCTATACTTGCAGAATAAAGGTATTTGACTATCATATCCAGGACATCCGGGTCAACGTTATCTAGAACTACTTCCTTCTTTTTCTCTTCATTTTGCTCAGTTAAGAAATACTCACGAAAATAAGGGCTACAGGCTGACAGAATCAATCTGTGGCAAGGCAGGCTTCTGTCACCAGCTTTCAGGGAGCAATCTATAAACTTTTTCTCTTCCAGGAGTTCCTTGAGGCCATCCTGAAGAAGGGTGGATTGGTAAAGTCTGAGTTCTTCAGTGAGTTCCCTCTGCGAATCCATTTTGCTAATATCTTGGAAAGTGCGAGGAAGTGGAAAGCTTTAGCTGTTGTCTGCACAAAGGTCTGTCTGTAAAAAAGGCAGATCAATGTGCTTCGCCCAGCCTGAAGCCTTTGCAATTTAATCTTGCTAGCTAAATATAGGTACCTACTCTTACAGGTCGGAATTTAGGGTGGATGGTGTGGAAAAAAGAGTTGCTCTCGCAGCTGTCAAAGACTGAAAGAAGCAACTGTTGCTTTTAGTCACTATGGCCTGGTTTTGCCATCATTGTCCATGCTGAATCAATGAGCTTACTCGCAGGGTAAGAAATTACTTCACATGAGTGAGGACAGCAGAATCTGATCCTCAGTGAGATAGCTATAAACAAGATTGGAAATACACGTTCCAGAATATTCTGAAGTAGAAATATTACGAATTGTCAGTTGCAATGACTGTTCGCTGTTTCACAGAAGTTGCCAATATTTCTCATAGTTACAGATTTTAATAAGGTATCAGTCACAGAGATATTAGGAAAAATCCAAAACATCGCATCAATTATCTGCGCAATAAGATTTTTTTCTTAAACATACCCATATCACATCAGTGATTTCTTCAGATACTGGTAAGACTTTGAATTTCATTGTGATCTCTTCTTCTTAATATACAATCTGTTATATTTATTCGGAAACTAAAAATCCACTGTTTAAATATAAAATATAAATTGTTCCGATAAAGTTCTCCTTTCAAAAATAATTTAAATGAAGTCCTCATTTTCCTCCATTAAAAACAATTATTCTTCATTTCAGATAATCTGTAGATATTATCAATCCTTTTTAATTCCACGGTATTAGAGATGGTGTTAACTGCTGTTAAACTAAAGTGAAAACAGTAAATGAAAGAGATAGAGAACAAAAGACATAAACTACCATATGATCATTATTTAATGAACACTTTATTTAACAAAACTAAAGACATCTGAATTTAAACTAAAAAAAGCCTCTAAAAATCTAACAGTACGTAGTTTAAAAAGTACATGGATTTAGAAAAAATTATGCACATGTTGAAGGTTTCACAATTTAGACTGGCAACATTTAAATTTTCATTAAAAATGGTAATATGGAAACAAAATAAATTTGAAGCTGTTTAAAGTGCCTTGATGAAGGACTGTATTTTGCCCATGCAGAAAATGCTCTTGATCCATATGGTAAAACGTTCCTTTGCAAAATCAAAATCAAGCAAAATCAAAACCCAACTCTTTGAAAGCAGCATCTCCAACGAGGTATAACATTACTAAAGTTTTCCTGAAAGTTTGTTGAAACCTTTTCAATATAGGTAGATTTCATTAAAACATATACTTTGAAAAGTTTTCCTACAAATAGTGATATCCACACCACAATTACTTTACTAGAACAGTCAGCTGCTAAAACAACAGCTGAAAGGACAGCTCATTTGACTTTTTCCACTTATAGAAAATAGTGCAGAGGTCTTATCCCACTAGAAAACGTAACAGCTGCATCTTCCTTTAAACAATAAATGACTCATTTCTCTCTAACACATAACTTCATAAAGGTCTAATGAGTCAGACGTAAAAGCTATTTGTGTGTGTGTTTTTTTTTTTTAAAGGGAGGATTAGAAAAAAGTGCTCTTCCCAAAAAAATAGAAAAGAAAAAACTGCACAGGGATGTCTAGATTAAAATTAAGTACCTAGAATGTTATGTGATAAACACTTCATAAAGTCATGAGATATGCAAACTAATATTTGGAACAGTACAGCATTTTGTCAAAAAGTTTTAAGTACTACAGTACTGCTACAGTGATACAACTAGGATGCCTAGATACAAAGTCTTCTCTGTGTTATATCGATCTGTTGCACAATATGAAACAAATTATGGAAATAGTTATTTAGATATAATCATTATAGGAGAGTACACTGCTTTATATAAGTAAATGAAAATAAATGAATACTTTAACAGAAACTATAATAAATAAAAACCTTTTACACATATAGAAATTTTCAGTAATATTTCTTTTATGACATATCCTGACTATACATTGTATAATATTTGCCTATTCTTTAACTTTGGTGTGTTCTTTCTCTGTTACCCTTGTATTTTTTCCAATTATCTTCTAGAGAGCTGACAAAATCAGTAAGAACGGTGAGTCTTTCATTGGTTAGGCAACAAGTAACATAAAAATCTAAATCAGCTGATTACTTCCCAGAGTCCCTGGAGTGTGAATCCATCTTTTAGTTTCTCTATTGCTAATCCTAGTTCTTCTGAAAACACAGGCTCTCGATCATGTTGCTTTTTTTGAATGCACATGATATAAGAGAGAAAATAAAACAGAAAAGGTTTTGTATTAATTTAATTATCCATTTTTTAACAACATAAATTTGACAACACAAAAAAAGTTGTTCTTACCTTGTTACCATCAGCAAAGTAAGCCTGAAAAAACAAAAAAACCTCACAATCTTGAGAAAAAAAATCATCATTTAAAAACAAATCTGCTAATAACTTATTGGGGTAAAAATTGTATCTGGTAAGTTTTCTTTAACAAACCAGTTCATTTGCTTTAATTTTTCATTGATAAACAAGATCAAAGTAATTTCCAGGTTGAAATAATATACAAAAAGGATCTGGTGATTAAATTATTCTTCACTAAGTAATACTAAATCCCTGGATTTTCCATCATATTAAATAAAGCTTTTAAAATGTTAAAATGTTTATATTACATTTGTTACACTGAGATATACTTTATACGGAATACAACGTTGACATGAAGGTAAGCTGGTAGCATCCTAGTACTTTCTACCTCATGTGGAGCAGCACTTATTACTCAGTTTCAAAAAGTGTGACTTTGGAAGCACTCATTAAGATGTAAGCAATCTCAAAATTCAATTAACATTATAACCAGTCTAAGAAACGATCATGGACTAACTGAACAATTTTCAGTTTTTCTACTCTCAGGCAGTGATGTACAAAAGCAATACAATCTTTTCCATCCTCGTTCTGGGGGTAAATGAACTCAGACTCTTTGGGAAGCAACATCTCTGAAAATATCTGCAGTTCTGGAAGTCTCTGAGCCAGCACCAGTTCTAGATCATCGTATTTACCAGAAAAAGCCTGATCTTGTTTCAACTGCCCCTGTGGCCTGGCGAAGGGCAGAGAAGTAAGCATTTCCCTGGGCAGCTGGATCTCAAGCTATGTATGACTTCACAGAACAGCATCACAGTCTTCAAACTATCACGGAATATTGAAGTCGAGCCAGTCATTAGGTCTTGCATGATATGTTTCCTGTGGCAACCCCCTTCTAATCAATTACAGCTTCCAGTTTTTATTTTAGAGTATGCAGAGCAGTTATTTAATCCAGGTGATACACGCATCGAGAACACAAACAAAATCTACCTTTAAGGAAAAGATTTTCAACTATGCTGAAGAGAGAAATAAAACTCAGAGGAAAAAAAAAAGAAAGAAAGAAGAGGGAAGAGAGGAAGGAGAGATAAATGCTTATCTAAATGGACAGATGATAGCAAAATAAAAGAGGGTGGAAATAATATTGGTGCTAACTCCAGAGACGAGTTATGAAATCACATCAGTTGGGAACTGTCAGACTAGCATATGAAAACCTTCTATTTGTGCAGTCCCTGCACATCACGTGATTGATCAGGTCTTACTGGATTGTGCAGAAGCTTTGGAAATTCTTAGAACGTAGCTGATCAAGCTCATAGGGAGTCTACTGCATTTAAAAGTATATTTTCCTGAAATACTGAGAGATGAGAACTAATATAGTTTTCTAAACTATACTAGTATTGGCAGTAGTGCACAGGTTGTCAGGAGAGACTTAAAATTATTGCTGCCATTTTAAAAATCTTTCAAGGTTATGTCTGAGATGACTGTCGAGCCTGCAGACACCACCACTTATTAGTCTGCTCCAAAAGGAGGAAGACTTGTTTTTAAATGTAACGTATTTCATTAAATTATACTGCTTGTTTTCAAACTATTCCTGATCTTAATGAGTTGAGGACCTACATACAACTACTATCATATATAGATACTACTAATTATTTAGAATAAAAATTTGTTCTAAAGAGGGTAATGAAAATCCCATAAACAGAATAAATTCCTGTAGTAGTCAAGGATATTGATTAAATGACATGCAGCTGCACTTCAAACACAAACAGTTCTGTTGTTGCTTATCTTTAGTAGACTTAGATCTGTAAGTTTTTTACATTTGAATAACTAAGTAAGAATTATTACTTTTTTTCTGTGGAGAAGCTTACCACAAAAGCATCTGTCTGTTCATCAGCTTCTATTTCCACATCATCTTCAACCTGTTCCACTGTTAGGTCTTCAAGAGGTTGAGGCTGCAAATTAAAACACTGAATTAAATAAATGTATATACTTAATACATGTTTAATGTATTTTTACAAGTGGCGGTAGTGCAATATTATATATAATGTCAGATAAATGAATGGACTACCTTTTCTTCCATTTCATAATCCACTCCAAAAATAGGGTTAGCTGAATAAACTCTGTGAAGTGAATTAATTTCTTTCACTGCCTCCTGTAGTTTCTCCACGGGGTCTATTTTAAAACCAAGTACATATCCCCCACTCTATATAATAAAAGAAAAAAGACAAATATTTATAAACAACTTATTCTCTTCGATGGGAATATTTATAAACAACTTATTCTCTTTGATGGGGATTTGCAGTTTAATGATAGCAAATTTCAGTTTGCTGATATAAAATATTAGTTGTATTTTTTTTATATCTTTCTGTATTTTCAGTCTGACATTTAAACCATAGGTGAAATAAAAACAGTGGCAATGTTTCTCCGTAAGTTAAATAAGCTTTGAACTGGTATCCCATTTTACAGGAAATAAAGTTAACTATTAAAAAAATTACCATTAAAAGTGCTTCTGATTATATTTATTATTCTGATTATTTTCTGAGGAAAAATATTTTGTCTCTTACAGAAAAACAGATATACAAATGCAAAAGATTTTTGAAAGTGTTTTCCATAAATACAGAAGTAACTAGATCCCAAAGATAATCTATTAGAAGATACTGTTTTTAACAGTTAATTTGCTTTCTTTTAAGTGGTGCAGGCCTATTGCTGCTCTGCTCAGAGAAACTGTAACTCGTGATAGCCATATTGACCTTAACATACTGATATTTTAAGCAGTGCCGAGGATTTTTTTTAAGTTATGTTCAAAAGACCACTGAAAAGGAACACTGTAGGTAGTTTAGAAGTAGCACCCTAACATTTCAGAATTATAAAACTATATATATAAAATGAAACCAACTAAAAAAGGCTATTAAAGCATCTTACCTGCTGAGAACTCTCTATCACCATTGCCAAGCCAAACTTTGAGTCTCGTATTTTTATTGACCGCTAATGGTAAAGAGGTAAAAAGTGTTATTAAAAACTGTCTTGGAATTGCTTGATATACTTTTTTTTTTTTTGGTACACAGCACTAATTATCATTTCTCGCTCTGGATGCTTGGACTCCAGCATTCCCTGCCATTTACCATTACAAATCTGAATCCCTGAAACCTCAGGGAAAGTGTTTCATCAGAATTGATAACAATTCGTTTCTGAACATCTTGATCACAGAGCATAAAACTCAGGGTATGCAGCTGGCATGCAGCATCATGGAAAATATTGTGGAATTTAGAAATACAGCCCATTCTTCAACACGTGGACCTGCCAATGAATTAATCTGGACATAAAAATTACAGCATCCAATTAATCCAGACAGAAAAAAAACCATGCCGTGCTTGATGCTGTAAGACCAAATTCTTCCAGGAATTCAGGACACGAAAATATTAATTTTGGTGTGAGTTGGGAGCATCAGCTGAAGACAAGAACTCACCCCATGTTACAGAATATTTCATTTTGAAAAGGCATGTTTTGAGATACTTACTATTTGTAGATATGGTATGCTGACATTGAAGCTATCGTTCATATTTGCATGCCACACTATCCTCACATTAGTAATAAAAAATGTCCCCAAATTTCCCTATTAAAGAAAAACTATGTTAGAACTGCATTGAATTATACAGCCCTCTTTCCAAACACAATGACTATTCATATTCATTTGAACACCAACATGATATAGCTTCATATTTAATCCAATAAAGGCCTGATTCTTTCCCACAGAAACCAGTGGAAATGTTACTACCCATTTCAAGGAAGCAGGATCACATCTTTAAAGGATACGGCACCTGAGTGGTGAAAACACTTGGGAGTTCCTATTACTGCAGTAAAGCAGGATCAAACCACAGCACAGCAAACCTAATGGGAGTATACGAAACTTCTGAGAGTGCTCTTAACTGTACAGATCTAGAATTAGTATATAGTGTAAGCATAATGGCATGCGGGTTAAACTTGGGTAATTGTGGAGATGTGTGCCAAGGGAATGTAAAGGAAAGAACTTTTTAGCTTGGATCCTGTTTCCATTCTGGACTAAAATTGCCCGGACAGAAATAACAGTTCCTATTTTGTTTCACGGCTCTGGGAAATACGAATAACTAAAATAATTTCTATTTGCTCCTTGACCCCTTTTCCCACTTTTTCCAACACATAAATTCCTATTCCAATATTTTCAGTTTCCAGTAATCAAAGACAATATAGCCTTACAGTCAAAGCTGCAAGTAAACATACAAGTATTCAGCAGAGCACTTTGGAACAGTATGAATCACTTTCAGGATGACACAGATTTAGACTCATAAATATATCTTCTTAACAGGAGCTGAATATCTAGTACGTAAGCTGAGTCATGTAGACTCCAGGATGCCAAGAAGACAACCTTGTACTGAGTAGCACATACAGAAATTTGCACATACATGCAACCAGCTGATGAACTGAATCAAGGATAATTCCTCTGAGGTTACAGAACTGTAATAGCATAGTTGCTAGGAAAGACGAAAGCTGAAACACTTTAGCTTTGCCGAAGTGAACGTAGTCTCATTTTTCACTATACCTGGTCACTTGATAAATTCCAAACTCCATTGATTTTATCATATATTTGTTCTTGTGGTAATAATCTCAGTTGCTTGTTTTGAATCAATGCACTTCTAAGCTTCAGATCACGATACATTTTAGAAGTTTCATAAGCTCTATAAAAAATGAAAATATAAGTTACCATTTCAGTGTTTTCTCTTTTTTAGCGTTTATGTTTTAGCACCAATACGAAATGTGTATTTCCAACTTTTCTTTTTACCATGTTCTACAAAAATACGAGAGCACTATTAAAATTTCATCAATGCAAACCATTGCATTTCAGTTTTCTTTACTCACATTACTTGTAAAAATGTTTTCTGACATCAGTTTTATCTTCTGTACTGTTCACATGTATGCTATTTCTTTCTTTTCCTTAAAATTTGTCATCTCCCAGCCTCTATTGCAAAGCATAAATCTTCTAGGTCCCATGTTACACACAGCATGGACATCAAGAATTATTTATTTTTCACTGCAGCTTAAGTCACAAACACCTAATACATGTAGGTCAGTATTCCAGAGTTCTTGAATTGAAACATAAATGTATTATGCACACATTCATCCAGATGACACAGACTTCACACATCTTTAGATGTGAAATGTCCACTGTTTTGAAGTCAATGGGAGTTTTGACCACAATTTAACCCTTCATATTTCTATCACATGCTCCACAACTACAGAAAATGATTACAGACAGAAATTACAGATATACAGAAAATACACACTGAAATTAATTCTTTAGTACTTTGATTTAGTCACGCAGTTTATTCACACACAGTGAACGATTTAATCCAAGACCAGTGTTAACCTACATGATTTTTTATTGCATATAGTTATGTAATAAAATTTGTTAGCATTTTCTCTCCTCTTTCTAGAGATTGTCTTCTTCTCTACTGAGAAGCTTTTGTGGATGTTAAATATGGGCAGTTATATACTGGGTCCATCAGTTGTATTAATTCCACATTCTGCTTATATATTTGATTGTTCATTTACAAAATTCAGTGAAACACTATTTTAAGTCTGGTACCTGTGCACAGCAATAACTGAAGTGAAGAGCCTGGGACTCCCAGGAACAACATTGGTAAATATGAACTCAAACCGTGTATTGTTACACTTAGTCAATATATACAGAGCTTCTGTCTGTCCTCGTAATTTCTGTAAGGAAAAATTCAAATGTTACATTTTGACAAGACAGTAGCTTGACTGTACAGGGAATAGTAATCTTGACATTATTATTCAAAATCTTGTTCCAAGTATAATAACTGAAGAGGTACTCTTGATTCTACTACTGATCTACTGCTGCCTTCACCTGAAAAAGAATTTCACTCTGTTTTTTTTTTTTTTTTTTTTTAGGAGGAACGAGCAGTTTCATCAGTAGTAGAACTACTGAAGCCTGGCTCTTACACATTTGCATGTCATGACTGAAATACAGTATTTTTGGCTTTGCCTCTTGCCGTCCAGCGGCGTTATCCTTCTACTCCATCTCCCCAAATACCCTGGCTCTACATCATGCCCCTTACCTACCTCCATTTGATGTGCCAGGGGAACAAGAGACCCTGTGCTGTGCTAGACTAGGATGGTAAGCGTGCTGAGCAGCCAGGCAGTACACGTGCCACCACATGGCTGCCCAGGGAACCTCCACAACCATGCTACCTCTTTGCCGCTATCTAGCCAATCAAATATTTTCACCGCTCCACGTAACTCAGGCTATGTATTTGGCAGCTTTCTCGCACAAACTCAGTGTCTCTCTAGCCCTTTGTTACATTTAGATGCAATGAGACAGACACACATGAGTTACCTAGAGGAGAAAAGGCTCACCAAACAGACAGCGGGACTATATGAGTCTCACTGCCTTAGGAAACTGGCTAAACCCCCACTTCTTTAGAAATTTAAAACTCTCCCAACTTTTAAAAATAAACTAAAATTACTCTATTACTGTTCTTGGAAGTAAACTTTGAGATTATTTATACGGTACAATAAGTGTAAATAATAAATTACAGCTTAATTCACTATTTTAAAAAGTATTTTTGAAACTTACTGAGTTGGCAGTTCTTGTAGTTATATTTATAATGCAGTTGTAACCAACAGCTAAAAGTTAGGGGAGAAAAAAAAAGAACAGTTTTGATAGCAAGAAAAAAAAAAAGATACTCAGACTTTCAGAGCACAGCATGCTATTCTGGAGTACACCAAAGCTCCTGTGAAAGAGCTCTTCAAAAATTCTTTGTGAGAATTCCTCGTTACAGTTAGTGGTCTGAGCCCTTGTCATAAAATGAGACAAATTTAAGCTGTAGGGACCTCTGGAGGTCCTCTGGTCCAATGCCCTGCTCAAAGCAGGGCTAATTCAGCCAGGCTGCTCAGGGTGGTATCCAGTCAAGTTTTGAATATTTCAAGGGAGCAGATTCTACAGCCTCTCTGGGCAGCCTGTTCCACTGTTTGACTGCCCTCCTTGTGAACTTTTTTCTCTTAACATCTAATCAGGATTTCCCTCGTTGCAACCTTTGACTGTTGCCTTCCAACCTATCACCATTCATCTCCGAGAAGGTCTATTTCATCAGGATCTTGCCCTTAAATTTTACCCTTAGAAATAAATTTTTCTACACTGATAATAATGCTTTATAGGAGAAAAATAGCTAAGGAAATGACAAAGACAAAAAGCAGCAAAATGGAAAGTATAAGTGAAGAAGAAACAAAAAGGAGAAAAAAAAAGAGAGTTATAAATTTCATTTTGCTTCTTCCACAGCAGTGCTCTAATACAAAATAAAAACAGGGAACCAATCCCAGCCATTCTTCATAAGACAAACCAGCCCACTAAAATGGTGCTGGGCTCCATGTGAACATCCATGACAATTCTGTTACTGATACCAACAGTAGCTAGCCAGGTTCCAAAATATCAATTAAGAATGAGAATCTGCTTTGGGGAGATTTTGCATGTCCAAAAGCTCAGATCTGGTAGTAGTTACACTACTGAATATAAGAATATTCAGTCTTCACGGATTACATTACAGTCTTTACAGATTTCCATTAATACATACAAAATACCAGAAAAAAAGACTTACTTTATAGGTTGCTTATGAGGCATTATCTAGAACTAACAGAAATGGCAATAGCCAAAACCAGCATCCAATAAAATGCTTATTTTTCTATTTATTTCCTGAGTGTAAGAAATAATACATTGCCTTGAAAGCTAGAGAAAGCCCAGTACTTTAAAACTCTAAAAGCTATACGTTAAATTCCCCTAGGTCTTCTGTAGGGCTGAACAACTTTATAAGTTTCTTTGTGAACTGTTCTAGAAAGGTCTGTTCTTAAACGTTATGTACAAAAACAATCAACTTTTTTATTTTATAAATACATATATAAAAGTAGGAGATGTGCGGGCACGCTTGTGTGTGTGTGCATGAGATAGAGAACAAATGCAAAAGAGCACACAGTCAGGTTGTGTAAGTTTACATAGGTTATGAACAGTATATAGATTGCCAGTGTTGACTGGCCATTGGGAACTGAGCATTGGAAATAATTTTGTTGCTGAATAAGTGCATCTTGGCCCTGCTTCAGCAAATTAAATTAAATATGAGCAAACAGGCTGGCTACTCATATAGTTTAAAATTAGAAGCTTATTCAGAGCTCACAATAGTAAATTTGGAAGGGCAGGTACTCATGGGGAATAAAAACTGTAGAACAGTACAGAACATGAATAAACAGGTGGAACAAGAGACAAGTATGCCAAGGACTGAAAAAACTCAAACTTTTGGTTCCTTCTAGAAAAAAGAATGAATTCCACATAGACTAAATAAAAAAACATGTGTGAAGTACTCTTCAACTTCTCTTTTGGAAAATCAACATTAAACACTAATAGTTTTCTATGAATTATTAAAACAGTTCCCATATTACCGATAAATTGATTAGTAACAGTTCATTTCAGAAGCAGCAGATCTATACTTCAGTAATCTGTACTATAATCTGTACTATTGTGAAAGTACAGCATGCCACCACAAAGGAAACAAAATTTAAAGTCCACTTAAGAGGAGACAATACTTACAGAGATTGACTCTAGGCAATGACAATGAGTGCCAAATAATGCGCAAATTTGTCACAAGGAGTCTACCTAGAAATAAAGGGTACAAATAATTGTAATCTGAGTAACTGCCATCAAATTAAACGGTCCACTTAATATGATGTATGTAATGTAAATATGTAAATAACATGCACATTTAACTCCAGTTTTGAAACTCCAGAATACTTCTTCCCCTTGCTGGGAAGAAAAACACAGGACACCCTGGCAGAACAATCACTACATACTTTTTTTTTTTCCCTTTTTAACCTAGGTGAGCAAGTCCAGTCAGAAGAAACAAACGGAACAGCCTCTGGTATATATCAGCGTTCCTCCAAAACGAATCAAAAACAGTTATTGATTTCACATCCACCCACCTATGGTAAAAATGCAGAGACAGAGTCAGTGCAGCATAGCTCTGGGGGACGAGAAGGGGAACGCAGTGAGTTAACTAGCATAGCTGTCCTCATGAATATCCTCACCTCTATATGTCAAGTGCAAATCTCTTCTGTTCTATACCCAGCGCAGCAGCAGAGCCAACACAAGGAGGTGTCATCTCAGCAAGCTGGCAAGTTCATGCACTTACAGAGTATGCATACAGTTATTGCTTCATTTTAAAGTAAAGGCTCAAACAACTGAAGAACATCATAAAGCTTGTAAAGAGAAATCCTTTCATGTTTTAAAATGGAAATAACTCCTTGCAAGCAAACTTGCAAACTTCTATACGGTGAAAGGTCTATATAAGCATTAAACAGGCTTACAACAAAAGAGCATCATGATGTTTATAAGTGGATTTCTCTTACAAGAGTTTTCATTCTAAACAAATTCTGAGCCAAAACTATCACCGCGTTAAAAGTTTCAACAAGCTATACTACCTGAAAATATTCCCAGAGGAGAAAGATCTGTGAAATAGGCACAGTCCATGTTCTCCAGTGAACCATTGATGCTGGGTTCAATGGAAAACAGACTGGGCCTTCGCAAACAAGCTAAATACTAGGAAGGTTACAAGTTCCTTGAGTAAACGGTTACCTCTGTCTCCATTGTTTCCTTTGGTATCTTCAACAGAATCTAAGCAGTCTATAAGGACCTCTCCAGCTCTCATTTTCATTTGCCTAAAAGAAAGAAAGAAAAAAAAGGACACAGTGAAAGATGGATCACTTTTGTTTTCCAAAAGGAAAGTCATTTACATTTCCCCACTTCCTTTGCTTTCTCCTTTCCTTGCTTAGTGCATCATAATACAGAAAATCCACACATGCAAACACATAAAAAGCAACATTATATACATGAAACTGCAATCTACTAAATCTAGTGTATGAAAAATGTTAATACTCTTAATTTTTAAAATATAACAGTACATAAATAATTATGCAGTAAGTGTGATCAGCAAACTATACTCCAAAATAGGGAGAAAGCATGTGAAAGAGGGAAAAGCAAAAAAGTTGCAGTCACATAGTCTTTAACAGAGCAAGTCCCTTCCCTCTTGCCATACTTTTCATTAAGGAACGGAGCCAGGCCTAAGAAAGAATAGATGTGAGCAAAGGAGCTATCAGATGTATATTCACATATGAAACGCTCTGATAAATTTTCCAGTCTTTCATGTTTTTCTCAATTTAACTGATCTCACCACTCAACTACATGGTAACAGCCCTAGTGTCGAGTTTTGTTATATTTTAATTGTATCCTGTAGAGCGACCACCACACTTCAGGGTGCGTAGGCATGACCAACAAGATGCATTATCAGGAAGGGGACAATACTACTGGAAAGCACTACGAAGCCACTAAGAATAGACTCGATAATGCATCACTGTAACAGCACCAGAAAAAGACATTAGATGGGAGGTAGCAAGAATGTGACCTTTAGAATTAAACCAAAAATATATCAAAGTAAGCTCTACCTACGTTACAATTCTGTAAGGAAATTAGACAGAACTGCTTAACTATCCAAGATACGAGCTCACGTTTCCAGATTTACAGCAGCTAGCGTGTCTGAGGGTCAACGAGTGGGTTTGGGTTTTTTTTTTTTCTCCTAATTTCTAAACGGTGACAGG